CAATGATTTTTAAAATTTTATCAAACTTACAGAAAGGAAAGGAAATGGATATAATTATAAACCCTCACGCCATAAGTGGAAGTCTCAAATGTCTCTACTTTTTTTAATGAATTATTTACATCCAAAAGTAAAATCACATTAATTTTGTGAGTTTCATTTCACAAATAGAACATTCTACCATTTTCCAAATTTTTTATGATTTCTGCCTCTTGCATAAGTTCAAACAGTTGGAAGGGTTTGCTGTCTGAGTCACAGGCAAAGAGACCAAACAGAAAAACCCTGGCTTTCACAGGACAGTGCTCGAGAGAAGCCACTTGCTGCCAAATAACTGTTCTCCATCCATGCCTCCTTCAGTGTCTGGCAGGTTAGTTCAGACCTGAACGCATCTGCACGCCCAAGCAGATGGGGCAGCTCTGACGCAGTAGGCCCTAGAGGATCCGGCTTTTACTAGCCAGCGGTCCAATTTGTTTTCCCAGAATAATCTTCCTGCAGGACAGAGATGGTTGCTGTTTCAGAACCTGAGTGCAGACTGAAGAGTGTCAGGGCCACGGGAGAGTGTCGGGGCCACGGAGAGTGCCGGGGCCATGGGCAGGAGAGTTTATTTCACCATGCAGGTAGAAAAGATTCAGCCACTAAGCACACACATGAGGCAGCTGCTCATGGTGCAGGGTCGGGAAGTAGGGAGGGTGCTGGTGTTCAGTTTGCCTTCTTCTGTTATTTAACCTGCGCCCCCACCTGTGGGATGCTGCTGCCCACATTTGGAGTGGGTCTTCTCTCTTCAGTTAAATGTTTCTGCCGACAGCCTCTGATGCTTCCTCAGACGTGTGTTACCATGGTGATTTTAAATCAGAGTGGTCAAGATTAGCTAACCGGCACAGACAGACTTTGCCAGGGAGACAAGAGAGGGGACGAAATGGCGCTCAGTGCTTACTGTCTGCCAGGCGCTATGGATATTCACTCCTTTAACATTTTTGGAAGATACTGATGCTCCCTTTGCCCCACAGATAAGGACACTGAGACCAAGAGGAGAGAGGACTTAGCCCAGCCACCATAGGTGGAATCCACTCCCTTTATTCCATTTCTTAATCCGTTTGTCTCCTCGAACTCAGGATTTAGCTCCATTCCATTTCCTGGTGCCCCCTTTTCTCAGTCTTTATATTTTGTATTTTTATTTGCTCAGCTTGCTCCTTTTCATTATAAATCTTCATTAGAGTTACCACTCACAACCACACAATAGTCTGTACTAGGCTGTTCTGAGATTTCCTCTTCCAATGGAATGAATCTACTGCTTTCCTAACCCAAAGTAACAAAGTCAAATTCCTCCAAATAAAAACAGGGTCAGGCCTATCCCAGCAATACCCTAGTCCCTGGTACCAACTGCTGTCTTAGTTAGGGGTTCTGTTGCTGTGAAGAAACACCATGACCACAGCAACTCTTATAAGGAAGACATTTAACTGGGGCTGGTGTACAGTGCAGAGGATCAATCCATTATCATCCAGGTGGGAGCATGGTGGCATGCAAGAGACAGGGTGCTGGCTACATCTTGATCGGAAGGCAACCGGAAGTGGTCTGAAGCACTGGATGTGGTTTGGCATATATGAGACCTCAAAGTCCACCCCCACAGTGACACACTTCCCCCAACAAGGCTACACCTACTCCAACAAAGCCACATCTAATAGTGCCACTCCCTATGAGCTTATGGGGGGCAATTACATTCAAACCACAGCATGAACCCCGTGGCCCCTATAAGATTGTAACAACCTGTGCTTCTAGAATCATGGCTTCTTCCTAATAGCTTCAGGTGGTGAGCAGGGTTGCTTGGATACTGGGGTGGGGGCATCACCCCTTGAATGGAAGATGTGAGTCTGAATCTGAAGCCTGGCTCCAGCTTCAGAGATGGTGTGAGGTATCAGGAGAATGAAGGACCCATGGGGTCTGGGATCCCCAGGAGCCCACTGACAGACCTGCCTGAAGACTGACCCCTCAGAGCCCCCCTCAGTGAGCCTCCATGGTGCAGTCATAACCAAAATCCCACTAAGTGGGTCTAGACAGAACCCCTCACCCTCAAGCCCCTCAAGAGCAGATCCAATCCCTCTTTCCCTCTTCTCAGTATCTGATCCTGTGTCTGCACTGGGCAAGGGTCTCACTCCTAATGTCTCCTTAGTCGTTTCCTGCCTGCTGTCCCTCTGTGCCCAGGCTGTGAACCCCGAGCCCCAGCTGTCCTGTGTGGTGCTCAGGCTTGTCTTTCCGGCAGGAGGTCTGCACGCCTGTCTCCACGGTCCTGAGCTGTGTCTTCCATGTTGGAACAGGCATCTGTAGTGTCTTATATAACATCACAGTGCCGTCCTCAGTCCACAGAAAGATCGTCCCAGATGATGCGTTTACACAGTTGCCTATCGGTGTCACCTTCTGCCTCCGGCTTCCCATCGGCCACCCTTCCTGAAGTCTCCTCTGCAGGAGCACCGCTCTCACACCTTCCCCTTCAGCCCATTGTCACTTGTCACTCGCTACCATTGCAGCTTCTCCCATCTGGCCCGCTATCACCCCTGTTCCGCTCAGCCCAGGGATGTAGAACTGTCCCTTCTCTCTTCTCTCTCCATGGCTCTGCACAGCTGTCTGAAGCCCGTGTCTGGTGAAGGGAACCATCCAGCTCTTGGTCCCTAACTCCAGCCCCTTGCTCTCGCTGCATGTTGCAACCCCCTCCAAACGCTTGCTGCCTTGCTCCTGTTTCACGCACACTTTAGCCTTATCCACTGATCCTGCTATAGGAAACCCATCCTGGATTCCTGGTCGTGGAGGACCTATAGGGGGTGTTCTCTGAAGACCCCTGGTCTCCCCACCCTTGCTCTCAATCCCGTGCTTGCTCAGTGGTATGTCCCCCCCCCCCCCGGTCACCTTACTGTACTGGCTTTGTTGTCATTTTGCCAGCCATTTTATTGATCTCTTACACTAGTGGGTCTTTCTCATGTCCATGATATAGATGGGAACACTAGGGCCCAGAGAGGCAACCTAGCTCACCTCCTGTACCGACACTGGGAACCCCACACACCCTGGGGGCCTGACCTGTGGTGAGAGGCGCTGGGTCCTGAGGAAGAAGCCGAGGAGGCAGCCCACGATGACAGACAGCACGGACAGGATGAGTAGCCCATTGCGCCTACACACCGCCCGTCCTCGAGCCAGGACAGCACCCAGCGCCATGCTCAGCCCAGGTGGTTGGCAGCATTCCATGCGCTGTAGGATGTGGCCCAGGTCTGGGCTGGAGGAACAAGCCTCTCCACTCACGGATGAACAGAGTCCTAAGCACCTATCACCAGCCTTGCAGCCATGGTCTGGGCAGCCACCCAGAGGGAAGCCATAATCCTATTACCAGCTGCATCATTAGGAGCCGGGAGCAGATTAGGGCCTGAGAAATTAGAGCAGGCCACGTGGTCCGTGTGTCCAGTCCTCAAAGCCAAATACTCCTCTTGAAGAGGGCAGGGGACCGGACACCATGAGAGGAAGCCGAGGTGCATCAGCCCACCTCATTCCAGAAAGATGTGGAAACACAGCGGTGAGGTGCCAGTCACTGCCAACCTCAGTAAGTGTTGGATGGGCATCTGGCGGCTGTCCCAGGAGCACCTTCTCATATGAGCATGGTGCTGCTGATGCCAGTCCCCAGAAGCACAGAGTGCCGTGAATGTTTCTTTGCCAGTGCACATTCAGAGGCATCTGGGGAAGGAGGGAACGCTGTGTGCCAGGCTTGCCCCAGTATGCTACTGCCAGTCATGGGGACTCAACCCCACCACCTTGGCACTGGGTTCCAGCCTCCAGGTCATTGAGAGAGGGACTGAGTCTCGGAGAGCCTGAGTCTCTTGGCACAGTCGCTGAGCTTGTGGCACTCGGCAGAATGAAGTCAGGCAGCACGGTGAGGACTTCAGACTTGAGTTCAGTTGTCCTGTCCAGCCTGCTGTTAACAGGAAATGAATACTTTTTCTTTCGGGATGCTTCAAGCCTGGGACACCACCCCACATCTCTCAGGGACTATTATCTACTTATTTATTTTTAAAGTGTTTTTATTTATTTTATACATATACACAATGTGTCTTGATCATATCTATAAATAAATAAAAAGGAGGACATGAAGCTCCTAGGTATGGCAGAGGTGATGGTTTATTGTAAATACGAGTGAGAGAATAGCCAGAGGCATCTGGAAGAGTCCAGAGAGAACATGGATATGTGAGGAGAAGGGGGAGGAGAGAAGAGAGGAGCCACCTACCAAGAGGGGGCAGCCCTGGCCCAGGGTCTGTTCAAGAGACTGGTGTAGCCAAAATGGCTGAGTTATACAGGAGCCAGAGGAGCTGGGGGAAGGGGCAGCCCAGTTTCTGGGCTGGAGAGTTCATGGTAGGGAGTGGCATAAGCCAGTCAGAAGGACCCTGTCAGGTAGGACTAGAAGGATGCAGGGACAACCTGATGGGCAGAATCTGCTTTGACATGTTAATAGGCGTCGTAGCCCTTTACCCAGTTTTTGTTTGTTTGTTTTTGTTTGGTTTTCGAAACAGAGTTTCTCTGTAGCTTTGGAGCCTGTCCTGAAACTCGCTCTATAGCCAGACTGGCCTCGAACTCACAGAGATCTGCCTGTCTCTGCCTCCAAGTGCTGGGATTAAAGGCGTGCGCCACCACTGCAAGTCAAAATTTCCAGCCCCCTGAACTGTCTGAAACCTGATAACACCCACCCACAACAGCAACTCCTCCTGGGCCCTCCCCAGCACACGCACCTCCCACCTCAATGTCCTTTTCTTAAAGTAACCCAGAGGACAACCTACCATCTGCCATACTCCAAGAGACTAAGGCTGATGGGAGTAAGCATAACTTTTTTGAAGACAGTTAACAACAAGCCTGTCTAGCAAAACAGTAGGTCCCCACCCCAACAGGGTCTACGACCTCTCCAGCCACAGACCTTTGACCAGGTTTAAGGCACCAAGGCCTCCTATTTTTTTTTTTTTTCAAAGCAAAACAAAAAGTTACTTTCCCCAACTTTATTAAAGAAAAAAAAAAAGCAATGGTGGTAAATCTCTAGAACATGGCCAATTTCCTGGGATTCCTCCCTCGAAAATGTGACATTTGATTTCCAAACACATGCCGATGCACATGGTTCCCATCACACTAGGCAGGCGAGAAGCTGAAATCCTGATGTGCTCATCTTCCGACTTTCCCCAGTCTGTGGTCTGTCTTTGGGTCAGCAATGATTGCCTGAACAGCTACTATGGCTTCATTGATTTTCGTCTGTAGCTCTCTGAGCTCTTCTATGTGCAGCAATCGCAAGATCTGAGCCGCTTCGTTCAGAACTGCATCTCCTCTGTCTTCAATCTTGTAGTGTCTAATTTTCTGGTCTTCAAGCCAAACAATGAAGTTTCTAAATTCTGTTTCATCTTTGCAGTTGAAGCCTGCAGGGTTGTGGTAGTCCAGGGCCGTGAGCTTGCGTCGGAACATGGTCGCCGGTGCTCGTGCTGGCCGCCCGGGCCTCTGCCGGGACACCAAGGCCTCCTATTTTTAAAGATGGCAAAGACCAAGAGATCTGCATTTGAGATCCAGGTCTGCTACTTGCCAGCTGTGTGATCCTGTGAAACCATCTCATCTCACTCAGCTTCAGTTCCCCCATTCATACAACAGAGATGTTAAGAGCGTCTGGCCAGAGGGAATATGAGTGAGGGTAACAGCAAACTCAGCAGCCAGTGGCCATGGCTGGAGCCATTGGCACACAGCAGCTCAGCGGGAGACTCCTTCCTGCTCTTGCTTGTGGCCTGGCCTTTAAACTAGAGGGGACTAAACTGCCTGTGTCACTGGGCATCTGTAATCTCATCAGAGTCAGTCAGGCAGCAGCAGGGAGCAGGCGGTGGTAGAGGTGGGGGTGTGACAGGTGTTGGTATACAGGGTGACTGCCTCCTCCAGACAGGTGACCAGAAAGGAGACAGCAGTGAGGAAGTGCAGGCTGAGGCAAAGGAACCTGGTCACAGGCCCTGATGCCATGGCAATGAAGGGACGGATTCTGGTCCCTCCTGAATCAATTTGTGACCCCTCCCTCAGTCCTGCCCTTTACAAAGAGAAGGAAATGAGCATTCGTGCACCGAGAAGCCCAAAGACCCTGCTCCTGGCAGCGCCGCCATGGCAACAGAGGAGGTGAGGTGCCCAGCAGTCTGAGAGATTTCTTTCTCTTCCTCTTAAAGCCCAAAGGTCCCTAAGACACCTTCAACTCCAATAAATGCAGCTTTTCCACTTCACCGGGTGGCTAACTGCTGCTTGGAAAATCCCGGGTAGCCTTAGGGCAGGTTCAAACACCATCTATGCCCACCTTAGTTGTGCTACACGGTGGGTGAGGCTTGCTTTCCACTCTGACTCTAAGACTTTGGTTTCCAGAATGTCCCCCACAATTGCCGCTGACCCCACCCCTCCACACTCTAAGCTGTCCTCCTACATTCCAGGATTCTTCAGTGCTCACACTGTCTGCAGATGCTCTTGCTATCTCAGGGTACTGAGGACAGAACAGAGCGTCAGACACAATCTGGTCTTGGAGAACCTCCAAGAAAAGGGACTACCTCCCACTGAAATGTAGACAGATAGCAAGCCTTACTACAAACAGCTTTGAATTAAATTTAAAGGCTCCTGTGTTAGAACCCTTTAATAAGATCACTTTGGCCTACAGGATCATTTGTCTTTTACAATATGGCTAAATAGGCAAAAGTGTTTACATAATTATATAAAATAAACAAGTTTAGGAAACTCTGGTAAAATGAAGTTATTCCGGTTCTTCATTCTGGCCCAGCTTGCTGAAATTAGTCCTAACTGTGGAGTAGGAGGTGTGGCTCTGTTGACAGAGTGCCTGCCCAGCATGCATGAGGCCTTGGGGTCCATCCCCTGCCCTGCATAAACCAGGCAGAGTGGTGCACACCTGTAGTCCTAGTACTTAAGAAGTAGAGGCAGGAGGATTAGAAATCTAAGATCACCCCCAGCTACTTATGAAGTCAGAGGCCAACCTTGGTTGCATAAGATGCTGTTGAAAAAAAGTCCTAGCTTTATTGGCAAGATTGCTGTGTGAACTTGGGTACATTTTTAACCTCTTCTAAAGTGGGGAGAAGACAATAGTCTCCTGTAGACTTGTGTCTTAGTCTGGGTTCCTATTGCTAGGAAGAGACACCATGAAGACGCAGCACTTATAAAGGAAAACATGTATCTGGGGTGGCTTACAGCTCGGAGGTTTAGCCCATTGTCATCATTACACATACAAGCAGATGTGGTGCTAGAGAAGGAGCTGAGAGTGGAGAAGGAGCTACATTTTCATCCCACAGGCAACAGCAAGTGGTCTGAGATATTGGGCATGGCTTGAGCATAGGAGACCTTAAAGTCTGCCTTCACAGTGACACACTTCCTCCAACAAGACCACACCCACTCCAGCAAAGCCACACCTCCTAATAGTGCCACTCCCTGAGTTTATGGGAGTCAGTTACATTCAAACTACCCCAGCTTGTGATGTGGGTTCCCTGCAATACTGCAGGTCAGGTACTTAGGTCATTGTGTGCCACTCAGGTACTCCTACGCAGCCTTTTTTCCATCTGGGGTTCATTCCCGCTAGAGAAAGTCTCCAAAGCTGGTAGTTGGTTTGTTGTGGGGAACCTTGGAGCATTCTGACATTCTGGGGCTTGGGGCACACACATGGGAAGCTGTGGCTTCCAGAGTGGAGCTCATACGCCTCTCTCAGGACATCTGATGCCTTGGGGCTTGTCCGAGTTCGCTTCTATTGCTGTCCAAAAAAGAAAGAAAGAAAGAAAGAAAGAAAGAAAGAAAGAAAGAAAGAAAAAGGGTTCATTTGGCTTATATCTCCATCACAGTTCATCAAGATGAAAATTCAAGTAAGGCAAGAACCTGAGGAGGTATGAGCCCAAGCAGAGGCTCACTCCTCTGGCACATGCCCACTTCCTTTCTTATCCCTTCCAGACCTCCTGCTCAGAGGTGGCACCACCCACAGTGGGCTGGACTCTCCCATGTCAATCATTAATACCAAATAATCTGATGGAGGCATTTTCTCAGTTGAGGATGCAGCTTCCCCCATGACTCTAGCTGGTGTCAAGTTGACAAGAACCAAACCAAATCAGAACTAACCAGCACAGGGTCCCTCTTTCCCCTCTTCCTGCCCGTTATATGGAAGGCCTCCTTCTTCAGCCTCTCAAATCTTTGCCCACGCTGCTTCCTCTGCCTAAAACGTCCATCACTGTCCCTGCAATCCCAGGTCATATGCCACTCTTGCTGGACACCCCCTCTTCCCATCTCCAGCTCAGGCCAGTGACGAGTCCCTGTTCCTTGACAAGTAGCTCTGATGAGGGCAACAATAACCTGCAATATCCCAGAGTCTGGACCTCCTCCGTGGAGGAGGGAGTTGCGCAGCTGTGCGCTGTGTCGGCAGTGAGTATCTAGGGGGCTGCAGGCGTTAAGATGTTGAAACAGAGATCATGAGCCAGGCTGGAGCCCTAGGGCCGCACAGCTCTGCCAGGTATGACCTTGATTGCAGAAGAGTAAAGAGGGGCACAATAGCCTTGCCAAATGTAGGGCCTGTTTGGCTGACCTCAGTAAACCAGAGAGAGTGTGAGGGAAGAGGCTGTTCTGAAAGCCAGCACAGAGCTGGAGAGCCAGCAGCTCCAGAGCCTGGGTCCTGGCCCCTTCCAGCAGGTGTCAAGATACATTAGCTGAGCTGACCAGACCCTAGTTGGGTTGGGGTGATGACAGCTCTGGGTTTGTTGGCATCTTTCCAGAGACATACCAGAGGCGCCTGCTTCTCCCCAGCTCACCTCTCCAGTTTGCCAGGGACTGAGCCCTTCCAGGAAGGTTGCTGTGAGCAGCCAATCCCGCCAGCATGAATTCCTGGTATCCTTCATCTCTGGAGACTTGGCTAACCTCTGTGGAGGGCCCAACCCCCCTCCTTGGCCTCAACAGACAGAGGAAAGTGACTTAGGGGAAGGCACATGTCTGCACCTGCCGTCTCCTTCCTGTCCTTCCTGTCTGTCTAGCCGTGACTTAGGGAAGTCAGGCCTGAAACCCAGTGAGCCCAACAAGGGTTCCATGATGAGCACTCTGTGCCACTGTGGGCACTCTAACTCGTCACCTGAACTTACCAGGAAGTGCTGTGCCTCGGGGGAGCCACTGGTTTTTAGCAGAACAGTGAAAACACCACATAAATGCATTCACCTTTCCATGAGACATCCTCCATAGGTGCCCGAGCCTGGCTACTGAGGAGCACGGAAGGACTGAGAGTGGCCAGTGTCCTTGCTTTCCTTCTATACAACTGGTCACTATGGGGAAGGCACATGGATAAAATGGACATGAGGTTCTTGAACGAGTCCCGCAGGATGCTTCTGCCCTGGGTGAGTGCAGGGCAGACTCCCTTTGAAGGAAGCAAGGCTCCTGCAGGCTGTGCGTGCCTCCTGCTTGCCCACTGGCAGACATTACATGCCTCCCTCAAACTTAATAGAATCTTGCTGCAACTCAAGCTCCCCCAGCTCCCATCCATGGGGCGTGACACACACCATGTGAGGATGGAAAGGCTGAGGCTGTGTTGGGTGTGCGCGGCAAATATCTCCTCCGCTCACAGGCAGGCTTACTGCCCATCACACGCTGCTTTTAGAACACTAGTTCAAAGGTTAAACTAAGATGCTTTCAGAGATGAAGACAGCAGAGCCGTAGCCAAACACCAGGCCCTTCTGCGAGCCTGGCCTCTGCAGCTGCACAAACCCCACAGCGGTGAAACCATTCCTGTTTAAAAGGTGGGGCAGGTTGGGGATGGCAAAAGCCATGGCCAAGGTGGAGCCCAGGTCGGAGACCATCTGAACCAAGTGTTGGCTGGATGGAATGGCCTCCCTCTCCAGCCCTTTCTTCTGTGTACCAGAAAACTCATTTGTTCTGTATTTTTGTTGCTTTGGCATGGGGTCTCACTCTATGGTCCAGCTGGCCTGGAACGTTCAGTGGGCTCAGAGGCGGCCTGTGCCATCGTATCTGGCCCGCTCATTCCTTCTTCACTCAACACCTGCACGTGGGCAGCTATGAGGAGCACAGATGGGGTTTGACTCAGGCTTCTTCACTGTGATTGCTAGGAGGACAGGAACCCTGAGCCTTCCTTCCACTGTGTGAGTTCCAGGAATGGAACTCCTCAGGCCTGACAGCACACGCCTGAACCTGCTGAGGCATCTTGCCAGCTATGTATACATTTTACAAGTTTTAAATTACATTTTAATTAATGTATGTATGTGTGTGAATGCTTGTCTAGTGTGCAAGAACCCCTGAGTGCAATCTCTAAATAAAATCTAGGGATACCATCCGCAAGATGTAGGCCTTTTAGGGAGTGGTGGCCCGTTTAGTAATCCAGAGGCTGAAGCAATAGGATCACCACAAGCTCAAGGCCAACCTCATTCACACAGCAAGTTCCAGGCCATCCTGGAGTACAGAGTAAGACCCTGTCTCTAAAAAGCAAAACAAGGGCTGGAG